GGCCACACCTGCACCATCGCATCCAGTCCGAGAGGAGCTGGGTGCGTGAGAGAGAACCACATGGGACAATGGGTTGTATCTGAGGATGCAAAAAGGTCTATCTGAGCACAACCAAATTTCTCCCACAGGAGCTCCACCACCTCGGGGTGAAGTCTCCACTCCCCGGGCCTCAGCCCCTGCCTTGACAGTATATCTGCTCCCACATTCTGACGCCCCGTAATGTAAACTGCTCTGAGAGATAGCAACTTCCCCTGGGCCCATAGGAGGATCTGATGGGCCTGCTTGCAAAGGTGACATGACCTCAGACCCCCCTGATGGTTGATATATGAAACCACCGATGTGTTGTCCGTACGAACCAACACATGATGGCCTCTCAGGTCTGGCAGGAAATATTTGAGAGCTCGAAATACCGCCATCATCTCCAAACGATTTATATGCCATGACATTTGATGGTCCTGCCACAGACCTTGCGCCGAGCGGCCACTCATGACCGCCCCCCATCCCGTGAGGGAAGCATCCGTCGAAAGCGTGACGCGTCAACAAGAAGCCCCCAGCACTGGGCCCTGGGCGAGGAACCAAGGTTTCTTCCACATGACCAAGGCACGAAGGCATAGCCACGTGACCTTGATCTTGCGGAACGGATTTCCCTTCGGAGAAAACCCCTTGGTTCTGAGCCACCACTGCAGGGGTCTCTTGTACAGCAGGCCAAAAGTAATCACGTTGGACGCTGCTGCCATGAGCCCCAACAGTCTCTGAAACTGTTTCACAGTGAGTGACTGGCCTAGTTTTACATTTTTTACGGCTGTGAGAATCGCAGAAATCCGAGCAGGAGATAGACGTGCCTGCATTGTGGTCGAATCCCAAATTACACCTAAAAAAGTGGTCCTCTGAGCAGGGAGGAGAACACTCTTCTTGATGTTGAGCCGCAACCCCAACTCCTTTATGTGAGACAGAACGATATCTCGATGCCGAACTGCCAACTGCTCAGACTGAGCTAAAATCAACCAATCGTCGATATAATTTAATATGTGAATGCCCTGGAGTCTCAAGGGAGCCAGAGCTGCATCCACGCATTTTGTAAAGGTGCGGGGTGATAAACCTAGGCCAAACGGTAGAACCCGATACTGGTAAGCTTCGCCCCCGAAAGCGAACCTCAGGAACTTCCTGTGATGAGGATGGATATATACATGGAAGTAAGCGTCTTTCAGGTCTATTGTGACAAACCAGTCCTCGGACTGGATCTGTGATACAATTTGCTTGAGTGTGAGCATCCTGAACTTGAGTTTCTGAACTCTGCTGTTTAACTGGCGCAGATCTAGAATAGGATGCAACCCTCCATCCTTTTTCGGAACAATGAAGTAACGGCTGTAAAACCCTGACTCTGGACTGCGAACGCCACTCGGGAACCCCGGATTGTGGAGGAGCCCGAGCAGCGACGCTCTGTTTCTGCTGGAATCTATGTGCGGAGCTCGTAGACGGACGAGGCTGCTCAATCTTTATATTACGTGCAGCCTCGGGGACACTGGACCGGCGAGGAAGAAACTTCTGAAACGCAGCCGCTTGTTTTTTATTTTCTTGAAACCTATCGACAACACAATTTATAGCATCGCCGAACAGACTTGTAGGAGAAAGCGGTGCGTCCAGAAGAACAGATCTATCTTTATCTTTAATTTCAGAAAGATTTAACCATAAATGACGTTCCGTGGCCACCAGGGCTGCCATAGAACGGCCCACAGATTTGGCCGTCTCCTTGGTGGCCCGGAGAGATAAATCTGTTGTGCGACGTAATTCTCGAATTGTATCAGCACTAACTTCCTCACATTCATCCATGTCCCTCAGCAGGTCAGCCAGATAAGCTTGTAATATCGACATTGTATGTAAGCATGCCGCAGCCTGACCTGCTGCCGAATACGCTTTACCCACCAGCACTGATGTATTTTTTAATGGTCTGGTGGGTAACGTCGGGGCTTTCAGTGATGACGCTGACTCGGGGGAGAGATAGCTCACAAGCGTCTCTTCCGCACGAGGCATCGTCAAATAACCATAATTATCAATAACTCTAACTTTACTGTAATTGTTAGTTTGAGGATTATGAACTCCATGATCTGGACACCTCAGTGTGGAGATCAGGAAAAAACGGGAGTTCCCGACGAGGAGGTCGTGATCTAGATGGTAAATAACGTTCATCTAGAAGACTCTTTCTTGATTCAACATCAATATCATCAGCTGGCCACTCAATATTTAATTTAGTAACAGCACGAGATAAAACCTCCATAAGCTCCTCATCAGCAAGGGTATGAGCTGGCGAAAACTCAAATTCCCCCATATCAACTACATCCAGTTCCTCAGAACTGGATAGCCGCAACATTGGTGCCTCAACCTGGGGAGGAGAAACCGCAGAGCGGGCTCCTTCCTGGGCTGGGACACCGGAACCAGCAGGTAAGGGCTGAGAAAGGGCTGGGCCCGTCTTAAACCCCGCTACTAGATCCATCTGTGAACCCCAAGATGCACGCCGCCGCTGTGCCTCGGCCGTAATGAAACGAGGGCAGGGAACAACACAACGTTTGAAATCTTGCTTGCTCGCCATCATGAGATATATATAGATAATATGATCGGACATACAACAATAAATGGACAAGGACAGAATCACAGAGAGCGCTTGCTGAAGACAACAGAAGCTGGCGCAGTCTGTTTTCAAGGGTGCTTTATAGTTTCCTGGTCTATGACGTCACCTATGACGTATCGGGCTTCCATTGGACTGATTTTACACGTGCTTCATGACGCAATCACGCAGAGCGTTCCCACTGCGTCTCAAACGCAGCTTGAGTTCCCTTGAAAGGGAACTTCAGTCTTCTCGGCTGTGAACCGCTCCTAGTGTGCGCCTAGCAAATCCGCCATTATAATACTGCCCTACAAAGCAAAAAGGCAGTAACTGCATTTTTCGTCAAAAATGAGTTATTATCATTTTCATGACATTCAAGGCATCCTTTGTTATGTGACAAAACATCTTATCTCAAATGTGTGTCGTTTTGGAGAAAAATGGTAGTCGTTTGTACAGTAACTGCAAAAAGCCCTAGTGAAACATCCATTAACATCCAGTAACATCCATCACTGTATTCTTATGTTTTACCTAACAAAAAATAACCATGTTTCTGCGCAGTGTAGTTACTGTTGGTGAACCATGGTGAACACACACAGCTGATTTTCGGGCATCCTCACGGGACGAATTTAACATTTGCGATTTCACCCTTCTAACTTCCCCTAATTGTTTCCCTACCAAACTACCCCCCTCCCCTGAAAGAATGAAAAAAATACTCCAGAAAGAAAAAAAAAGGTGCAAGAGCATAGCAGTTCAGTAGGCTGAACGCGCACGCTGAAGCACGTGTGACGCTCAAGCTGTTTTTTGCCTATATGAGGACACGACTGCATTAACTTACTCTCCAGACTCTAGATCCGCTCTTAAAGTCACTTTGTGAGCATTTAACCGCTTCATTTGAGAAAAACTATCGTCATGTCATAAACACAGAAACTCAAAGGTCTTCATGGCAACCCGCCAAAATAAAAGTTCGGTTTAACTTGACAGAAATATATTACTGTTGTACAGTAGAATTTAGAAACATCTCAATGTAATAATAATTAAAAGATTAAAACTTAATTTTTATTCAATGTTTTAATTTTAACAGTAAAGCTCATTGTGCAGCATGTTGTTTGACCAAAAATGTTTGTTTAATTTCATATGATTAAAAGAAATGTAATTGATAATATATTAGAATTTTAATATATTTTATTTGTAATATTCATAGAATATTTTTAAAATATTGTATAAGTTTAATAATAGTTTATAATTAAAGTTTCATGATTTCAATTAATTAGACATGATTTTTGATTATTAAAAATTTACACCACGTATCCGTAACACTAGTTTCGCAACACAAAAATGTTGAAAAAAAATGTTGTCCAAATGGTTCCAATTATTTCAAATACAGTGTATCTAACACACCCAGAGCTCAAGTTGTGGCAAAATAGTTTTTGGAGAATCTGTAGTTACTGCCTTTTTCCTTGGTATGGTGCCACGTTTTTGGTAAGTAATACAAAGCAAGAATACAGTAACTGCAAAATAGGGGTAAAATATCAAATTAAATATGAGGATTGATATGTACAAAGAATAAGCTAATATAAAGTAACAAAACAGCCACATGTCCAATAATCTGTCTACAACTACTTAGGCTGGATGACAGGATAACTTTAAAGTCATTTTTCTCTGTTCTGCACTCTGCGTAGTTACTGCCTTTTTGCTTTGTAGGGCAGAATAGCAATCCGCCATGGAACAAGCGCACCTGCTTTTAAAGGGAATGTGAGATGACGCTCTGATTGGTTTATTTCACGTTATGCCCAAACCACACCTATGAGTAATTTAGCTACTTCAGACCAACCCATTTTAGATTTGGTGATCCGCCCACAAAGTTACTTGCGTTTCGCGTTTGATACTTGCGTTCAGATCATTAAAATAGGGCCCATAATGTTACAAAAGATTTCAAATTTCAAATAAATGCTGTCCTTTTGACATTTCTATTCATCAATAAATCATGCAAAAACGTACATTACAGTTTCCACACAAATAATATGCTGCTCAACTGTTTTCAACAATAAGAAATGTTTGTTGAGCACCAAATCAGCATATAATAATTATTTCTGAAGGATCATTTGACACTGAAGACTGGAGTAATGGCTGCTGAAAAAAAATCTGCTTTGCCATCACAGAAATAAATTACATTTTAAAATATATTAAATTATAAAATACTTATTTTAAATTGTTATAATATTTCACAATATTACTGTTTTACTGTATTTTTGATTAAATAAATGTTGCTTTGAGCATAAGGGACTCTTTTTTTTATTTAGAATTTTTAACAACAGTGTATTTGTATTTTATTTCTTTCTCAGACTCAAATGATCTTGATTAACTAAAAAAGAAAAACCTTCTCTTTCCTCACAAATAGGAGCGTAATATCCTGGTAGTTTCTGGTCTTCAGTTGGCATCTCTCTACAGGCTTGAGGTGCAGGTGATCACTACGGGAGGACAAGGCCCAGCAACATCCAGAACCTTTCAGACACCAGTTCACAGCAGGCCAGTCCTGCACTACAGTAAGCTCTTTAAACTTATGAGACCCCAACATTTGTGTACCAAATCACATACTATTTAATAGCGTAATCGCTCTTACTTTTTTTCGTAATCTTTTGCGGTATCTCTATGACTCTGACCTCTCCAGTGCAAAAAAACCCTGCAGCCCAACCCTTAAATCTTAATAAGGGAGAGCTGAAAATACATTCTTGTTCATCGCAAGGAAAAGGTCAGAGGGTATATGAGGTCAAAAGTCTTGTGCAAGTAGCCCCAGCTCTTGATGTCGAGGTCAAACAATAAATCATGTAATTGAGATGAATTGCTTTTCCTCTGCTGACTCTAGTGTATATTTAACTTTGCAGAACCAAGGATTAAGAAACACCATCTAAGGTCGGTGATAGAACGGCACTGAAGACCACACTGCAATGAATCATCCTGGACCAGAACTGACTCCTCAGGAACACAGAGTGTCAGAAGAACCAAAGAAAAGTTAATTGCAAATCGTGTTTCAGCCTGAGCCAGTCAGATGCCTCAGACAGTAACTCAAAATGGGGACCTGCTGTAATCTGAAGATCAAATTGTGATTGACGTTATGATATTTAAAGACCCATTAATTTCCTGTAGGGAGGATCAGCTTCCACAAACTAATTAGTATTGAATTTGCAACAAAGACTTGGGCATCAAAAGCAAAAGCCATAGGATAAAACATAAAGAAAAATATAAAGATAAAGTGCAAATACGAAAAAAATGGTGGTTAAATGCCTAAAAGACATGCTTTGAATTCCACATTCCCTAAAAAAAAAGAAAAAAACTCTGGTTACACACCCTAGGCGCTGAAATGGACCCTATTACCCTAATACAATATTGCATGTGATGACTAATTTGGTTTAACTTGTAAATAAGCCTGACTCAATACAACTGTTTGTGGTTTTGCATGTGTTCGTTAAGCATGGAATTTTACTGTTTGTATCCCCATTGTGTCAGTAGCAACAAATGAGGAATCAATGAAAAATATTCCTGCTCTTTAAAAGGAAAATGCCATTTCATTTTATGAGGGTTTTGTGTGGTGTGTGCTCAATATGCTGTAGAGATATTTGTTTGCAGTCATGTAATTCCTGTATATACTGTATGTTTTTTTTATTTATTTATGTATGCAATAGAAATGTGTTATGTGGATTTGTAACTGTCTGTGTGTGAGTGCATGAATGTGTGCGTGCGTGTGTGTGCGGGTTCCCCCAACATCATTCACAAACTGACAAACCCTTGCAAGGAGATTTTGTATAAATATATTTGTAAATTCCCATGGATAATGAATATTAATGTACATATTTTATATGAATAAAGATGTTAAACCTTGTTTTCCCTTTACCATACTGGTTGTGTGTTTTGTAACTGCTACCAGGGTGAATAGGAAATAAAATCTATCATGTCACACAAGCAATATTCACTAAAATAATTTCTGTCAGGACCACTATCGTCAAATACGATTGACAATTAGCATACAGTTAGGATTGGCGGTCTGGTTCCGTTCTGGGCGAGAACTCCCTGATTTTTATCATTATATGATGGTTGTGTACAGACACAGCCAACACACATTTCAGTACAATCAACTTGTAAAAGTGCATGTACCATTATATGACCCCTTTAAAATACAACATAATTAGAGCATTTATTCTGATTCGAGGGGAATCAGAATGCCAAATCCTGACTGACGAGAGGAGGAACTGGGGATGGAGGAGGGTAATTGGCCCCTGAGAAACCCGATAGCTGTTGATAATACTGAAGGTGACAGGCATCATATTTCTATAGGTAGCCGTGGATCAGCTGAGAGTTAGCTGATGCAAGCTTGACTAACGTGACCTGCCAGAACTGATGCTACGCTTGATGTATATTTACAATACACACAATCAAAAATCAATATAAACATACACATAAATTTCATCTAATTTTACTACTAAAACACACTACAAAACAGTCAAGGCAAGGAACTTTTCCACCCCTTGACAATAACCAATAACAAGATACAGTAAACGTATACAGTATCATTGTGTTTATTTTTCATTTCGATGCAAATGTGCACACTATTTTGCAACAAAAAAGTAATATGTTCTGTTGATGCAGCTACATTGTGTTCTTTTATTTCTGTTGTGGTTCAGTTGTGTGTGAAAACAAAGCATTAAGCCCAATGGATAAGTGTGTGGTTACTCAAACATACACATATGCAAGCAGGCAACCCTACCCTTGTAGCTCTGTAGTCACTTTCATTAGAATTCAACTCCACATCTGGCCCTCGTGTCACAACAGAAGTGTGTGTGTGTGTGTGTGGGCGCGCATGTGTGTGTGTGTGTGTGTCTGTGTGTGTGTACGCCTGTTTGCTATATGGAATATTGATGTGCCTTGTTCCCATTACCCCTTCAGAGAATGTCTGACCAAAAAGACAGGAGTACGACAGGACAGGAGACAACAATATTCATTTTTGTTGATCCTCAGTGAGTCCATATATAGTCCATTCTACTATATATTGCAGGTCACACAATACAATGCACCACCAGAAGATTTTTAAGCAGTATTGAACAAGCGGGTCTGTTATTGCCTTGTATTCCCTTTTAAAAAGTTATTTTAATCTTTTACATTAAAAATAAGAAAGTATACTTTCAGTCTACTTTTTATGTAATTCTCAGAAATATACTTTATGTACTATCAAAAATATACTTAGACTTCTATGTCAGTATGAGTCAAGTATACTATTATGTGTAATTTTAAGTATATTTGACCTATAAATCTTTTGCTCGGCATATGCTTAAAAGTACAATTAAGTGTTCTAAGTAGGGCCTATACTTGGCTTGTATAGTTGTGTTTGGTTGAGCCTATTAAACACTTTTTTTACATACTCTCTTTAAATTACATTGTTTGAAAATAATGATTTATTAAGAAAATGTTCTTAATTCTATGTATGGGATTTTTTTTTGTAGTCCACTGGTAGTGTACATAGGAATTTACTTCCAATCTACTTAACTCTTTCCATGCCTTTGACGGAATTTTCTATAATTTATGACACAACACTTTCTCGCCATTGACATAATTTTCAGGCAATACATGTTTTCACTGTTATATAATAGGGGGAGCTAATACGCATCTTCTGAAAAAGTATAGAATCTCTGGATCAGAAACACAGGCGAAGAAGATCCAGAAACAATGGATAGAAGCATTGCTTATGCACATGTAAAAATAACGCAAACATTGAACACCCTAGTGAAAAAAGTATACTTTATTGTATTTTAAATATATTCCCTTTTTAATAGTACATTGCAAATATATTAACAAAAATTGTACTATATTTAAATGTATTAACTAGGTCTACCAAGTTCACCATAAAAGTAGATGGTATAACCACCTTTACCATAAAACTATAGCATAATCCAGTCTTGACAACAATGGAAATTCATATTGGTCTAAGATAAAAAAAATTCAGCAGGGATTTACACAGCGTCAGGCTATATCATATGATGGATATTACATGTGGCTTGTTTGGATGGTGGGGTATGACTTCCATATGTAGTACCTTGCATGTCATATGTATGTGTGTGTGCCTGGTTTAAGATGAGACTCTGACATTTTTATGGTTAAACTTTAAATAGTTCAAAAAAATTACATGTGTATCTTATTTGTCTGAAGTCCCTGAAGGAGTGTCTGAAAAGTTGTTGTTTTGTCACATTGTCTAATAATGAGGCACATCAGTATCAACCTTATTGTTTAAAGTAATCATTATCTTGTCAATGATGCCTCAATGGATTTAGTTAAGTAGAAAATATTGCTAGCTGTTTGAATCCAGGCCTAGTGTTAGTATGACTGATATAAAGGCTGTCTGAATAAATCGATGGAGCTCTGCATGATGCAGCTGGAGCGCAGTGAGAACATTAGAGAATGAAATGGCCTGGTTGGAAGAGTCTTCTTGCTTCCTTGCTGAAGTGTTGAACTGTGCCTCAGGATTTATGAGTGCTCCTGGACTCTGGTGACCCAGAGACAGGGATTTAGAAGGAACAGAGAGAAGGAATGGTGGGGGCTGGAGAGTTTGGGAAGACTCGATCCGCTTGCAACACATTTACGATGCTCCAGAGAATGGCCGCAGAATGGTACAGAGAAAGAGTGTGAGAGAAAGGGAGACTAAAAGGGAAGCAGCATCAGGAAGAAGGAAACCTAGAGGGGAGAGAAGCAGAGGAACCAAAGGGGAGAAGAGGCAAAAGAGGGACAATGAGAGAAGGAGAGAATAGATTACTTCAGGGACTGAAAGTGTGAGCAGATGAAATATGTATCAAAATACTTCACACTTTTTAAGCCAGAGGGAGATATGATATTTCCTCCTCCCACTTTCCCATGAGCCTCCCAGACGAGTTGCCTCACAACTGGCCAATCCCATAAGAAACATTTTCAAAAAAGATTGCACTCTGGCCTGTGTTCTCACTTACACCATTACAGCTTCAATTCCTGCATAATGGTATCTGACAAGTAGCTTCTAGCTTTGAATCTGATAAAGAATGAAACTTGGTTCAGTGAGTGTCCACTTTCCATTATCTTTTTTTAAGGTTAAAAGCAGTTTTTCTTTTCAAGAATTTAATATTTTTCTTCATTCTTCACTGCATGTACAGTATGAATTGCATGTTAAAGCTGAAGTCCGAAGTTTTTCCTCTTTGTCGCCATCTCTGTTCGAAATCTGCAATTGCAGTCATTCGCGGAATTATCAACTTTATGTTGTATCGAGTTGTACCTCGGCACGGCACAGAGCGGATGAATCCAATGTTTGAGGAGAATGTGCAGCTGTCAGTCACCGCGCGGTGTGGATACTGTCATTCAGAATCACAGATTATACTTTTTGGAAGTATGACCAACATAAGAATTTTCACCCTAAAATGTCATCTGAACAAGTAAGTAACATCCACTTTTGTTCTTCTGACCAACTAAGGGGAAGCATAGCAGTAAATTGCGCTGATTAAATCTAACGATCGCTTATCATATCACGTCAAACCGTGCAAATTATATTTTGTTCTCAAATTGTTAATGTTAACAACATCAGCATTGCGTGACTAAAGCCCTTAAGATATTTATCCTTGTTTTCGCATGGGCCCGGTTGCAGTCTCTTTTTCCAAACTCTCAGTCCAAAGTCTATTGCATTTTACAACGGGTGAATCTCTAGTTGTCTCTGGTGATTGTCGTTTGAACCTTTCTGGATCCGCCATCAAATTAATGTTTAATTATATCAAGTGCTGTGAGAAAAGGCTATAAATCTCCACCTCCAACATCCTCACACGTAATATAGCCAACTAGCCGAGACTCCTTCTTTATGTGTACAGATGTGACGCAATGACGTAAAGACATGCTCGAATTTCCCACGGAAATCCACCAGTACCACTGGAATTAAAAACATTATTACAAGCTTACCGTTTTGAATCGACCTAAGGCAAGCAGATAGTTTTGAACACTGGCTGGTTATGTACTTGCTCAAAAGTTTATTTTGGATCATTTTTAACCCAAAAAATGTACGGACAGGAGCTTTAATGTATTTTTGAAAAAATGAATAGATGAAGACTAAATCTGAGCTGACATTTCAAATTCATTGATGAATTAATGTCATGGATCAAGGTTGAATCACTGCAAACTTTTGCAAACTGAATCAGCATGTGCCATTGTTTCAATGTCTTACTATTCTCACAGGTATATTTAGTTAACCCTTAACAATCATTTAGTGTTAAA